TTCAGCGCGGCGCCATAGGCGCGGCGCTTACTGGCGGGCGGATGCGCTGCACGTCTTGCAGCTGCGGAGGTGAAGCTCGGCGGCTGCAGCTCGACGACACCGCCGTGGCACCAGAATGACGCCGCAGCAGCGTGGCGTCGGAGCCGCAGCTGCTCGTCGATGTTGAGACGGCAGCATCAAGTGGCCGCCGCGACATCTTGATGCCACGGCGGCAGGCAGGCAGAAAGTCGCGAAGGCGGCGAACGGAGCAGGAGTACGCAGCGAAAACGTAGTGAGCAGGCCTGGGACGGACGGCCTGCTCTGATACCATGTTCAAATGCAAGCTTACTAGGAATGTAGAAAAGCCGCGCATCTGATGATCAGACGGGCCTGAAGGGCCCGTCTGATCATCAGAAAGTGGAAAAGGCCTAGGGAGGACCCTGGGTTGCGACCCTTCGAGAGTCCTTTCACCCTTACATATTCTTTCGTCCAACCTCCTCGTGTAACCTCCGTTGACTCGCGTACCCGATATGACTTTCCTCGAGTATCGTGTTACACTTCAGAAACGCTCAAGTCTTCGAGGTATTTCCAACACAACCAGGGCTTCAGATTGGATTTTGAGGGGCTGTTGGCTCAGGGTGCCCCAGAAGGAGCCCCCGTTTTTCGGGGTCGGGTTTTGGAAGTTGCAATTTTTTTCAGGGTAAAATTTTTCGAAGGCTGAAAAATCAGGACTGAAATTTTTCAGAGCTGAGATGACAGGTTGAACCTTGGCGATTTTTTAGGGTGGGTAGGATTTTAACCTAGCACATTATGTTAGACAGGGCGTGTTTTGTCAGACAAAAAAAAAAAAAAAAAAACATAAAAAAACATAAAAAAAAAACAAAAAAAACAAAAACAAAAACAAAAACAAAAAAACATAACAAACCTTACTCATCAGGTACATTTTTTAGGTTTCTGAATCTAATCCTTAATTCAGATCGGACTTCACTGCGTACATACAAATTCTCACACTACTAGCCTGATTTTGGCCAAGGACCAGTCACGCCCCTCACACCTGCTCCAACTCGCGTCAGACTGCCTACGTGATTTTGGCGAAGGACCAATCATGCCCCTCACATCTGCTCCAACTCGCGTTACCTGCGTGATTTTGCCTAAGGTCCAGTCACGCCCCTCACACCTGCTCCAGCTCGCGTCAAACTGCCCGTGTGATTTTGGCGAAGGACCAATCACGCCCCTCACATGTGCTCCAGCTTGCGTCACCTGCGACATTTTGGCTAAGGACAATTTACGCCCCTCACAACTGACAACTTATACATGTCATGCATGTAGAAGTTATAGGCTAGTATCGATGTGTGCTCCTAGGGAGTACAACCCAATAGCTATATGTTCCTTGTTCCACCTTCTAATCATTATTCTCGTATGCTAACATGGTATCACGCTTAGATTAGGTCCACCCGCCCACCCGCTTCCGCCCACACCCTAGCTAATCCCCTCCCCCCTTAGCGTTAGGCCCCCGTCGCACCCTCCAGGCCCCGTAGCGCCCTCCTGGCCCCCCGTCGCGCCCTCCAGGCCTCGTAGCGCCCTCCTGGCCCCCCGTCGCGCCCTCCAGACCCCGCCGCCCCCTCCTGGCCCCCGTCGCGCCCTCCAAGCCCCGTCGCCCCCTCCTGGCCCCCGTCGCGCCCTCCAGGCCCCGTAACGCCCTCCTGGCCCCGTCGCGCTCCCTAGACCCCTGTTGTGCCCCCCCCCCCCCCCCCCCCTAGCCCCGTCGTGCCTGCCTGGCCCCCTGTCACGCTCGCCTGGCCCGGTCGCGCCCGTCTGGCTCCGTTGCGCCTGCCTGGCCCCGTCGCGCCTGCCTGGCCCCGTCGCGCCCGCCTGGCCCCGTCGCGCCCGCCTGGCCCCGTCGCGCTCGCCTGGCCCTGTCGCGCCCGCGTGGCCCCGTCGCGCCCGCCTGGCCCCGTCGCGCTCGCCTGGCCCCTCCGCGCCCGCCTGGCCCCGTCGTGCCCGCCTGGCACCTCCGCGCCCGCCTGGCCCCGTCGAGCCCGGCTGGCCCCACCGCGCTCGCCTGGCCCCGTCGCGCCCTCCTGGCTCAGGCGCGCTCGCCTGGCCCCACTGCGCCCGCTCGGCCCCTCCTAGCGCTGGCCCGCCTCCCCCCCCCTTCCTAGGGCAGCCCGGCCCCTCCTAGTGCTGGCCCCGCCCCTTCCTAGTGCCGCCCGGCCCTTTTCGCGCTCGCCAGGCTCCTAGTGCCCGCCCGGCCCCGCTGCGCCTCTCCGACTTCCAGCGCCAGTTCGAGCCCTGTCTCCTCTGCCCGCCTGCCCTGGGGCGCCTCGCGGCCGCCCTGCTGGAGAGTGCTGCCGCCGTGTCCCCACGCCGCTGTGTTCCTGCGGAGCTGTGCTGCTGTGTCGCTGTGGAGCTGTGTCGCTGACCCTGCACGATGGCTGACTTTGTGCTCCGCCTGGACGCTGAGGGCCACGCGGTTGACTTCGCCGCCTGGCTCTCCAATCTCCGCCGCCACCTTACAGGTCAGTGCCAGGATGGCCACTCTTTGGTTGTCCATGTCGATGGCTTGCTCCCCTGCCCCCCTGCTCCTGCTCCCCTCCCTAATGACCCCTCCTCTGATGACCGTGAGACCTTCTCTACTGCTGCGCTTGCCTGTGCGGTCTGGGACTCCCGCGATGCAGTAGCTCAGGTTGCTATTAGTCATGCCCTCTTTGTGTCTGAGCGCTCGCGTTTCGCTACGGTTGATATGGCCAAAGCTTATTTAGACACCGTTATTGCTCGCTATTCCACACCTGCATCCGCTTCTGCCGGCTGCTTGCTCTTCCCGATGCTGTTCCCAGACCTCGCTGCCTTCCCTATTGTCGCAGACTTTGCCACTCACTTGCGTGCCCTAGAGACCCGCTATCGCACTGCCAGCACTGCTGCCCAGCTCACTGCGCTCCCCCCCCCCTTCTGCATGACGCTCTATTTTATCGCCATGCGCCTGCCGGACCGCCTAGCTAGTGCGCGCGACCACTTCCTTAGCCAGCACCCAGGTGACCTCACTCTGACCACCTTTGTCGACACCCTCACCGAGATCGAGACTCGCCAGCGCACTATCGCTCAGTCGAGCGGTGCGTCGGCAGTCTCTATCTTTCACGGCTATGCCCCCTCCCAGTGCACGTTTACTGACGTTTCGGATGCAGTCGCCTCTGCGACCCCCCTTACCGAGACTGCTGCTGCGGTCCACCCGCAGCAGCGCTCGCGTCGCGGTGGCCGTGGCCGCCAGGGAGGCCGGGGTGGTGGCGCTGGGGGTGGTGGGAGTGGTGGTGGTGACGGTAGTCCGCCTGAGAGGACTACCACAAGTGGGCAGAAGCAGACGCAGTCCCCTCCGCAGCAGGAGCAGCCCCAGCAGCAGTCGTCGCTCCAGCAGCAGCCGCCGCAGCCGTGGGCCCGTCTCCCGCCTGGTTGGCCCGGCACCTCCGGAGGTGGTGGCCGTGGTTGCGGCCCGCGCAGCTTGGCGTCTACTGGCGGCTCCGGTGCTGTGACCTGCCAGTACCAGCTTCAGACCGGGCCTCTCCGCAGCACTCTGTGCCGCCGCCCGCACCCGACCGCCCGCTGTTTCCGCCGCCTCGATGATCTCTTTCGTCGTCGCTTTGGCCCGGCCCTGGACCTCCCCGACTGGCACAGCCTGCTCCGCCAGGGCATGCCGATCTTTGAGTTAGACATGGATCAGATAGGTGTTGCTTTGCATACCTTGTATTCTGACGCTTCTAGTGTTGCTGGATCTTATTACCCTGTGTACTCTAGTTTAGGTGTTGCACCCTTGTGTAGCTTAGCCTCCCCTGCTGCGTCAGGCGTAGGACTGCCCAGTTTGCCTAGCCTCGTCTCTGCACCGGCTCCGTTCTCGGCCTCTGCCACTGCTTCGCTGTCCTTCACTCTCGACTCCGGTGCTTCTACCTGCTTCTTCCGCGACCGTTCCACGCTCACGCCGCTTGCTGCGCCTGCTGTTGTCTCTCTCGCTGACCCCTCTGCGGGTCGTGTCGTCGCTCGCAGCTCCACGTCCCTTCCCTGTCCAGCAGTTCCCTCGGGCTCCCTTACAGGCCTCCACGTTCCATCGTTCTCGAGGAACCTGGTTGGTGTCGGCTGTCTCCAGGACCTCGGCGTCACCACTACGTTCCCCGGGCACGAGCGGTTCGCTGTCTGTTCTGAGGCTGTCTCAGGTTCCCCCCTTGCGACGTTCCCCCGAGACCCGGTGTCCGATCTGTTCACCCTAGACACCGCTTCCCTCCCGGTTGGTGCGTCCTCCCAGGTCGCTGCAGCTTGCTCGTGTCGGTCCCTCACTCACCCGTCCCTTCTGTGGCACCACCGCCTAGGTTACCCTGCTTTCCATGTTTCCGTCACATGTCTCAGCACGGTATTGTCTTAGGCCTCCCCGCGTCGCTCCCTGCCCTCCCCCCCTCGACTATGCCACCGTGCACGCCTTGCATCGAGGGCCGGCTCCGCCGTGCTCCTCACTCCTCCTCGCTGCGCCCTGCTACTGCCCCCTTCAGACCCTACACCTGGATGTTTGGGGCCCTGCCCCCGTCCCCGGACCGTGTGGTGAGCGCTACTTCCTTGTGCTCGTCGACAACTACACGCGCTACACCACGGTGTTTCCACTGGAGCGGAAGGCCGACGTGCCCGACGCTCTACTACCGTGGGTTGTGGCTGCGCCTCTTCGCCGACCCTCCTTTGGATCGGGTCCCCCGGTGATGCATCTCCGTTCCACGTCTGGGGCTGCCTTGCTCACGTTCGTGCCTCTGGCACGGACAAGCTCATTGCCCGCACTGTCCCCTGTGTCTTCCTCGGTTTCCCCCTGGACTCGTCTGACTGGCTTTTCTACCACCCGCCGTCTCACCGCTTCCTCCACTCTCATGACGTCACCTTTGATGAGTCTATCTCCTTTTACCGCCGCTTCCCTCACCGAGGTCTCCCGGTTGCCCCGCCCCTGTTCCTTGCTCCCTCTCCCCTGGTAGCCCCTGCTCCTCTCCCACATCGTCCTGCCCCGTCTAGTGTCTCTCACGTCACTCCCCTCCTGTCGGTTGTCCCCGTTGAGGAGTCTGCTGACTCTGGTGGTACCCCCGGCCCATCCTTGCCGCGTCCCCCTTCCCCGGTGTCTCCGCCTCCACTGTCGCCGTCGCCGACTCCGCCGCAGCCGCCGCCGCCGTCGCCGCTGCCGCCGCCGCCGCCGCCATCGCCGCCGCTGCCGTCGCCGCCACTGCCGCCGCCGCTCTTGGCCCCTGGAGGTGCTGGCATTGAGGAGGGTGTTCGTTCTGCGGCTCCTGGGGGTGCCGCTGGTGTTGGCGGGGGTTCTCGCTCTGGGGGTGTTGGTTCTGGGGGTGCTGCTGTTGAGTGTTCTGCCGACGGTCGTCCTGCCTCTGCCGGTCCGAGTGTTCTGTTATAATCACAATAGGCTCAGATGTGCCTAAAATGAGAGAAAATGTGCACAGTCAGAATTCCGTCAGCCAGCTTCAAATATTGATGCCGATCTGATGTATGCCTCAAACGGTGATCTGTAAATTGGATCTGGAGCGTGTTGTTGTCGCCTCTCAGCAGCAAGTTGAATCATAAAATTCCATGAAGATTTCACGACGCTATGGCGGTTTGACTGGCAGGAGGTACAGCAGCCACTATAGTCTTAGGAGTACAAAAAACTTAGGAAGAAGAATTCGAGAGGGAGATGGTTCCCAGCCTCTACATACCCCAAGAGCCGAGGTCCAGGTTGGTGGTACACCACCACAGAGTCCCCAACCACGAAGAGTCTCAAAACAAACCCTCCAAGGGGCTACACCAAGTGAAATGTAACACTACACGAAGTAGCGTTACTATTTTCACTATTTAATATTTATCAGCGTCCCTTGGGCTTGAAATCTTGAGCTCTTGGTCTTGGTTCTTCAAGATAAATTCTTCTTGAGTTGATGGGGGCTTGCTGCACACACCTGCGACGCGATGGACACTTCACACTTGACAAAATAGAAAAACACATGCGACACGCAAACGACGACTTGACATGCGAGTTGTAAAAACTCACTAATGTCTTGACCGACACACACCACATTGTGAGACACCATTCAAACACACACAGAAGCACTAGATAGCAATGACATAGACTCACAAGTCATTCCATGCCATGCATGCACACACACAAGCACGGACGACAAGCCGAGTGCAAGCCATAGGGTTGCACCAACAAACTCCCCCTCGGATTGTTGGCCTTAGAATCTGCTCCCCTTAGTTCAGAGCCATCCCAGCAAGCTTGCAACACTTCCAATGCTGCTGCTCAACCAGCCTCTTGGTCATCATATCAGCAGGCTGCGCCGTCGTCTTCACGTAGTGCAACTCCACTTCACCCGCGGTTACCATGCTCCTCACCCAATGCCACTTCACCTTCATGTGCTTGGTAAGGCCATGAAGAACGGGGTTCTTAGCCAATGCAATAGCACCCTGGCTATCACAGTAGAGGGGGGTAGGTCCTTGCTGCTCCTCCCCCAATTCAGCTAGCAAACGCCGCTGCCACACAACCTCTCTTATGGCACGGAAGAGTGCCGTGTACTCGGACTCCACCGAGCTCAATGCTTGGTCCACTTGTTTCTTGCTCTCCCAAGCTGTTGGTCCTCCACCAACACAGCAGATGAAGCCTCCCACACTTGTCATGTCCTCTGGTTCTGATGCCCAAGATGCATCAGAGAAGGCGGTGAGAAAGAGCCTCCCGGGTTCGACTCCATCCGCACCCTTTTGACGCCTTTGTGCCGCCGCGGAGTATTGCAGTCCAACAGTTGCTGTTTGGCCAAGGTACTTGGCCACCCTCTCTCCAGCTGCTACCTGCTCTTCATTAGGGCATTGGACAACCCTAGCTAGCTGCCCGGTAGCAAAGGCTGCATCCGGCCTTGTGTGAACGGCCGCATACATGAGGCTGCCCACCAAGGAATGAAAACGGCGCCTCTCCTCTTCACCAACACTTTCCTCCGCTGGTCCTTTCACACACTTGAACCCTGAGGGTAGAGGAGTAGCCACATGACCTTCACTCTTCCCAAAGTTTGCAGCCAAGGCCTCCAAGTACTTCTTTTGATGCACTCGCATCCACCGCTTCTCCACATCTCGCTCAATGTGAAGCCCAAGGTAGTAGTTGACGTCACCAAGGGTCTTGCAATTGAACTTGTCTTGAAGCTTCAGCATCACCTCCTTCACAAGGTCAGAGGAGGGTGAGAATATGAGGATGTCATCCACATAAACCACCATGAAGCTCCTCTGCTCCCCCTCGCCAAGCATGAACAACGATTGATCGGCCGTTGAGGGAGTGAAACCGATCGCCTCCAAGACTTCCCGCAGCTTGATGTACCATTGCCTAGGGGCTTGCTTGAGGCCATAGAGTGCTTTCTTCAGCTTCCACACTCTGCCACTCCCATCATTGTACCCCTCTGGCTGCTCCATGTAGGTCTCTTCCTCCAAAACTCCGTTGAGGAAGGCCGTTACGATATCCATTTGCTTCACCACCCATCCTTTGAAGGCCGCCGCGGCGAAGAGGGTTCGAAGGGTTGTACCCTTCACCACAGGAGCATATACTTCATTGTAGTCCTTCTTCTCCTGCTGCTGGTACCCCTTGGCTACAAGTTTGCTCTTGTAGCGCTCAATCTTGCCGTCGGCGTCGGTCTTGCGCTTGAAGAGCCACTTGGAAGAGATCGCCTTACGCCCCGGAGGTAGGTTCACCAAGTCAAACGTGTCGTTCTCGATGATGCTCCCCATCTCTTCATCTGAGGCCTTCTTCCACTCCTTCCCATTGGGGCCCTCCCAAGCCTCCTTGGGATTTGTAGGCTCCCCCGGTATCTCCACCGGAGAGAAGAAGGCAAGAGCGCACTCCTCGCTTTCATCTTCCGCTTCATCGCCTAGCATGAGAGCCGAACCGGTCAAGGTTGAGTTGGCTGCTCCTCCAAGCCGTTCATAGCTCAACCTATTGGGGGGCTGAGTCTTCCTTCTCCCCCTTCCTTCCTCCTCTACTGCAGGGACTTGGATGCTCTCATGGCGTTGCTGCAAATCTGCTCGGTTCCCGCGAGCACTTGTAGCACGAGGCGGAAGTGACGGTGTACGCTCATCACCTTGCTGCACCTCCTCCTCCTCTTCTCCCCCATTCATTTGAGGGATTGCCTTGTGATAGTGCTGCTGCTACTCAGCTCCAAGGGCAGCTCCACATGCTCCAAGCCGGTACTCTTCACCTCTCCAAGCCGCACACCAATCTTCGCTTGGTTCTCCGCCTTCCACTCCTTGTACGGTAAGTTCTCCATGAACTTGCAATCTCTGCTCACCAGGAACTTCTTGGTAAATGGGTCCCAAAGAAGCCATCCCTTGCTGTTTTGAGCCATGCCCAAGTGCACGGCCCATGTTGCCTTGGCATCAAGCTTGTTGTGCCGAAGTTTCTTAGGCACAAGTGCCATGCACATGCACCCGAACACCCGAAGCATATCCACCTTCGGCTTCCTTCCAATCCACTCCACATAGGGAACCCATTTGTCTTCTCCCACGTGAGTCAAGGCTCTGTTCTTGGCCACACAAGCATGCCGCACCACATCCGGCCAAAAGTAATTGGGTAGACCGGCTTCAATGAGAAGTCCCCGAGCCGTCTCCGTGAGTGTCCGATTCGCTCGCTCGGCAATGCCGTTCATTGCAGGAGAGTAGGGCATGGTAAGAGAGTGCCTTATGCCCTGCTTCTTCAGCCAAGTTGAGAAGTCCTTGCTCAGGAACTCTCCCCCACGGTCAGTGCGAATCGCCTTCACAAGCCGGTCTTGTTGCCGCTCCACCATCGGCAACCAATCGGTCTTCACCGTTTCAGCCACGTCACTCTTCTTGGGCAGCACATACACCCAAGTCATGCGAGTGTAGACGTCCACAATGGTGAGGAAGTACTCAGCTCCAGCAGCTCCAAGCTTCAAGGGGCCCACCACATCCATCACCACCTCATCGAGTGGTGCCTTCGCCGTTGTCTCCGAGCTATGGAACGGGTAGCGGGTGAACTTGGCTTGCATGCATGTTGGACAGCCAAGCACCTCATTGGGCTCCCCCTTGACACGTATCCCACTGACCATGTCTTGCTTGACTATCTGCTGCAAAATGGGCAATGCCACATGCCCCATTCGCCGATGCAAGGTCAGCCAATCACACTCTCCCGTAGCGGAAGTCGGGTTGGAGAAATCGGCACTCGCAATTGTGCCCCACAAGCTCTCTCCTTTCTCCTTCGCCGCTGCTGCTTTGCTGATCTTAGGATTCTCCTCCTCATTTCCACCACCTTTGGCTGCTGCACCACTCTCCTTGGATTCACATGCCTTGCTGGTCTCTCCAAGATTGCAGTCGTTCGAGTCACTCTTGGTGTCACTTTGCTTTCCGTGATCACCGCCACCAACCGCTTCACTCTTGGTGCTGATGCTTGCTGCCACTTGCCTCTCCTTAGGCATGGGGACCACTGGGATTTGCCACATTTCATTGTAGATGTCCCTGTCCTCATGAAGGTCCCAAAGCTTCCGCTCACCAAGCCGCGCGGTATAAGTTTTGGATCCCTTGGAAGATGTGTCCATGCCGGCCTTTTGCAAACGCCGCACAGAAATCAGGTTGGCTGCAAGGTTGGGCACCCAAAGCACGTTCTTGAGGCCCACCATCTTCCCATCAGCACCCTTGAACATGGCCTTGCCCATGCCTTTCACCTCTGCTCGCTGCCCCAAAGCCGATGTGACATGCTTGACCGGCGACGGTTCGAGTTCGGTGAGCAAGTCCGCACGAGGTGTCATGCTATAGGTGGCGCCGCTATCGATCACCCAAAAGTCCAGAGAGTGAAAGGTGACCTTTCCCACAGTAGCTGGCTCCTCAAAGTCTTCCACACCTCCTGCTGCAGCTGCCGCTTGCGTGGAGACAAAGAAGAATTGGCCCGGGTATCGATCTTCACTCGGGCCCGTCTCGTAGTCTCCACCTTTCATGCATGCCGCTTCGCTTCCACGACCACCACGGCCTCCACTACCTCTGCCTCTTCCTCCCCTTGCTCCTCTGCCCTCTTGGCCTTGAGAAGGGGTCCATCCATCAGGCAATCTGTAGCAATCTCTCCACATGTGGCCGGTCTTGTGGCAAAAGTGGCATTCGCCATCAAATCGACCGCGCCCACGCCCGTAGCCATTGTTGTTGTTGTTGCTGCCATATCCTCCATTACCACGGCCTCCATTGAAGTTGCTGCTGCCAAATCTTCCTCCTCGCCCTCTGCCCCTTCCACGGCCGTGCCCATGGCCCATGCTTGCAACTCCGGCACCATCGGTACCCGCCAATTCACGACGGCGGAAATCTTCTTGTAAGATTTCCCGCTTCACATCTTCGAGCGAGAGGCGGGGCAGATCTCGATTTAGGTTGATGATGAGCGAGGACCATGAGTCCGGAAGCAAGGCCAGCAGCTTGGTCTTCTTTTGAAGGTCACTGTAGTTCAGGTCAGCTCCTTCAAGCCGTGTCAACAAGTCGAAGAATTTCTGCACTCCGTCCTCCACCGGTTCGCCTTCGTCAATTCGAAGGGCCGCCATTTGCCGCTCCAAAACCACAGCCACCGCCGCTGTTGCAGGAGCGTGTACACCCTTGAGAGCAGCCCATGCCTTTGGTCCCTTTGCTGGTTCACGCTGAAAAGGCTTGATGTGACGGATTTGGCTGCTCCCCAACGCTTGCCCAAGTAGAAGATAGCCTTGTGCGCTCTTCCGCACCCACGGGCTCTTCTCCGGGTCGTTCTCGGGGCGCTTCTCCGTTCCTTCCATCACCTCCAGCAGATCATAGTGGTCAAAGATGTTCTCCATCTTGAAGGACCACTCAGAAAAGTTGTCACCGTTGAACTTGTCAAGGCCAAACACTCTAGGCTCATCCCTAGAGGGGCCAAGGCTAGGTTGCACGGGAGCCATGGGTGGATCTTGGTGTTGACCTTGTGCTTGGGCGTCTTCTCTGCCTCCAGCACCTCTGCCACCCCCTTCCTCAGATCTAGGCATGGTCGAGACAGCTCCAAGGGGCTCTGATACCACTTGTTATAATCACAATAGGCTCAGATGTGCCTAAAATGAGAGAAAATGTGCACAGTCAGAATTCCGTCAGCCAGCTTCAAATATTGATGCCGATCTGATGTATGCCTCAAACGGTGATCTGTAAATTGGATCTGGAGCGTGTTGTTGTCGCCTCTCAGCAGCAAGTTGAATCATAAAATTCCATGAAGATTTCACGACGCTATGGCGGTTTGACTGGCAGGAGGTACAGCAGCCACTATAGTCTTAGGAGTACAAAAAACTTAGGAAGAAGAATTCGAGAGGGAGATGGTTCCCAGCCTCTACATACCCCAAGAGCCGAGGTCCAGGTTGGTGGTACACCACCACAGAGTCCCCAACCACGAAGAGTCTCAAAACAAACCCTCCAAGGGGCTACACCAAGTGAAATGTAACACTACACGAAGTAGCGTTACTATTTTCACTATTTAATATTTATCAGCGTCCCTTGGGCTTGAAATCTTGAGCTCTTGGTCTTGGTTCTTCAAGATAAATTCTTCTTGAGTTGATGGGGGCTTGCTGCACACACCTGCGACGCGATGGACACTTCACACTTGACAAAATAGAAAAACACATGCGACACGCAAACGACGACTTGACATGCGAGTTGTAAAAACTCACTAATGTCTTGACCGACACACACCACATTGTGAGACACCATTCAAACACACACAGAAGCACTAGATAGCAATGACATAGACTCACAAGTCATTCCATGCCATGCATGCACACACACAAGCACGGACGACAAGCCGAGTGCAAGCCATAGGGTTGCACCAACATGTTCCGGCCCAGCCGTCGCAGCAGCCGCTGCAGCCGTCGCCGCCAGTCTCCGCTCTCCGCCTGCTCGGCCTTCCCTCCCCTGACTGCTTGCCGGTGTCTCCCCCACCGCCTTCCGACTTTCCTGTCTACGGTCCTGTGTTCCCGCCGCCGGACTCGTCTCCGGCCCGTCTTCCTCCTCGTTCCCCTCCTTTGTCTCCCCCACTGTCTCCTGACCCTACACCCCCGTCCCATGTTTGGTCTCGCCGTCCCTCCCCTGCTCGTCCCGTCTCTCCTGCCCTGCGCTCCCACCCTATGTTGCTCCGTTCCCACTCGTCTCGTCCTCCCCTCCTCCTGTCCCCTCCTCCCTCATCGCTTGCTGTTGCACCTCCTCCGTTGTCTGACTACCTCCGTGCCGCTCGTCCCCTTGTCCCTCGGGTTCTTGCCTCTCTTGTTACCGACCCTTCTGTTCCTGTCTCGCACCTTGACGCGCTTGTCGCTGCTGTCGCTGACTTCGCCTCTACCTGCCGCCTTGACTACGCTACCGCTCTGGTCTCTGACCCTGCCCGTCCTCCGTCCATCGGGGGTGCTCCCGCCCTTGGCAGTGACGTTCTAGAGGACAGGCAGAACGAGCTTGCTTTCCTTTCCGAGGCCGCTCCCCATCTCTGCTCCATACTGTTAGTCCCTGAGGGTGACCCAGACGCCTTCGACATCCCGACCCCTCGCACCTACGCTGAGGCCACCTCGGGACCTTGGGCCTCTCAGTGGGTAGCTGCCATGGAGCAGGAGATGGCATCTTGGAGGTCCACCGGCACTTACGTCGACACAGTTCCCCCGCCTGGGGTGAACGTAGTCGATGGTCGGTGGCTCTTCGAGGTGAAGCGCCCCCCTGGAGAGTCGCCTGTCTTCAAGGCGCACTACGTGGCCAGAGGCTTCAGTCAGCGCGAGGGGGTTGACTTCTTCCAGACCTTTGCCCCGACCCTGAAGATGACCACTCTTCGAGGGCTGCTACACGTAGCAGCACAGCGCGACTACGAGCTTCACTCCCTCGAGTTCTCTATTGCCTTTCTTTAGGGCAGCCTACACGAGCAGGTCTACACGCGCCGACCACAGGGCTTCACTGGTACCTTCCCCCCTGGGACCCAGTGGCTTCTCAGGCGCCCAGTCTACGGCCTGCGTCAGGCTCCCCGCGAGTGGCATGACACGCTGCGGGCCACGTTAGCAGACCTGCAGTTCTTTCCGTCCTCTGCAGACCCCTCGCTTTTTGTGTGTTCCGGCCAGACTCCGTTCTACATCCTTGTCTACGTAGACGACCTGGTCTTTGCTACTGCTGACAGGGACGCACTGGCCTCAGTGAAAGCTGAGCTGCTGAAGAGACACACCTGCACTGACCTTGGAGAGCTGCGTCGCTATCTTGGCCTGCAGATCTCTAGGGACAGAGCAGCACGCACCATCACTCTGACACAGTCACACTTGGTGCGTCAGATCCTTCAGAGGTTCGGTCTTCAGTTCTCCTCCGCACAGCCCACACCTCTACCTGTAGACCATGGGCTCTCCGCTCCCATTTTTGAAGAGCCAATAGAGCCCAGTGGCCCCTATGCAGAGCTGGTGGGTTGCCTCATGTACCTGATGACTTGCACCCGCCCAGATCTCGCATACCCTCTCAGCATCCTGGCTCGCTTTGTGGCCACAGGCAGACACCGACCTCAGCACTGGTCGGCCGCTAAGAGGGTTTTGCGTTATCTTGCAAGTACATCGGCATGGGGTTAGTGCTAGGAGGACGCAGGCCAGTTGTCCTCACTGGGCACACAGACGCTTCTTAGGTAGACAACTCTGAGACTCTCAGGTCGTCTTAGGGCTACTGTTTTAGTCTTGGTTCGGGTGCTATCTCTTGGAGATCCACTCGCTCGTCGTCTGTTGCTCAGTCCAGCTGTGAGGCTGAGATCTACGCCGGTGCCATGGCGGCACAGGAGCTCCGCTAGCTTACCTTCTTGCTCACAGACTTAGATGAGCGGCCTAGCTCTGCCCCGGTCCTGTAGGCTAACAACAGGGCCATGATTCTCCTGTGTCAGGAGCCTCGGCTTGAGGGCAGAGCGAAGCATATCCAGCTGCGGTACTTCCTCCTGCGCGAGCTACAGCAGCGTCGCCAGGCCCGCGTAGTTCACTTGGCCTCCGGTGCCAGCACAGCTAATATCTTTACTAAGGCGCTTGCGCCTAAAGATCATCAGCGGCACTGTGTCCAGCTTGGTCTTGTTCCTGTAGCTTCTCACTTGTTAGGACCCTGACTTGTGTACTCCTCACTATATATATACCTGTCTGACTAGCCTTGTGGCTTTCCTCCCAGTGGCTGGACTAGTAGTGCCGCCCTGGTTTGCTTTTGTCTTGTCTGTACTCTTGCTGACTGGTCTTTGGACCCCTGCCTCAGTGGTTGGACTAGTAGTGCCTCCTTGAGCTGTGTGCTTCTTGCTTGCACCACCCCTTCTCTAGCCTAGGGGGTGTGTCAACTTATACATGTCATGCATGTAGAAGTTATAGGCTAGTATCGGTGTGTGCTCCTAGGGAGTACAACCCAATAGCTATATGTTCCTTGTTCCACCTTCTAATCATTGTTCTCGTATGCTAACAACAACTGCTCCAGCTCGCCTCGACCAGTTAGATCAGGATTTTGTTTCAGGCTGGAAATCCGTTAAGGCAGATAATTCAGGGTGACCAAAACAAGAACATACAATATTTCAGGCTTGCTCAAATGACAACCCCTAAAATTCAAGCCTAGGAAAAATCAAAAGCTGAAAAAACAGGACGACCCTAAAAAAAATCCCTGATATACAGCATTTCATGGCATTTTTGTCAAATGTAACTTAGGTTGTTACTGTTGGCTATACTGGATTATGCCTTAGAGGGTACAATACCCTAGTCTATATATCCTTGTACACGCACATTCTAGTCTCAATCATTTTCTTTCTGATATGGTATCATAGTAGGTTAGATCCCCCCCTAGCCCGCTCACGCTCCGCCCCTACGTTCCTAGCCGGCCCTCTGGCTGTCGCGCTTGTCCCTAGCCGGCCCCCTGGCCGTTCGCGCCCGTCCCTAGCCAGCCCCCTGGCCGTTCGCGCTCGTCCCTAGCCGCCCACCTGGTCGTTCGCGCCTGTCCCTAGCCGGCCCCCTGGCCGTTCGCGCCCGTCCCTAGCCGGCCCCCTGGCCGTTCGCGCTCGTCCCTAGCCGCCCCCTGGTCGTTCGCGCCTGTCCCTAGCCGGCCCCTGGCCGTCGCGCTCGTCCCTAGCCGGCCCCCTGGCCATCGCGCCTATCTCTAGCTGGCTCCCTGGCCGTCGCGCCCGCTCCTAGCCGGCCCCCTGACCGTCGCGATCGCTCCTAGCCGGCCCCCTAACCGTCGCACCCGTCCCTAGCCGACCCCTGACCGTTCGCGCCCGCCCCTAGCTGGCCCCCTGGCTGTCACGCTCGTCCTTTGCCGGCCCCCTAGCTGTCGCGCCCGTCTCTAGCTGGCCCCCTGGTCATCGCACCCGCTCCTAGCCGGTCCCCTGCAGCCGCCGCAGCTGCAACTGTCGCCGCAGCCGCAGCAATCGCAGCAGCAGCAGAGGCGGACGGGTCCTCTTCCGCCTGGGTGGCCCGGCACTGGTGGCAGCGCTGGACGTGGTGGTGGTGCGCGTGGTGGGCTGCCGAGTGGTGGTTCGGGTGCCGCGCGCTGTCGGTACCTGCTTCAGACCGGTCCTCGCCGTGGCTTCGTTTGCGGTAAGATCGGTCATACCTCCGTCCGCTGTTTCCGTCGCCTGGACGACCTATTTCGTCAGCGTTTCGGCCCGTCGCCCGAGCTCCCAGACTGGCACAGCTTGCTTAGTCGTAGGGTTCAGATTTTTTATCTGGACATGGATGCGATTGTTGCTGCTCTGCATGTGATGTATGCTGATGACTCTAGTGTGCTTCCGTCTTATTACCCCTTGTTGCCTAGTGTAGGTGTGCCTTGCTTAGACTCCTCTGCTGCGTCAGGCATAGGATCCCCTGCTTTGTTTAGCCTTGGTGCTTCCGTCGCTACTTCGCCTCCGGCCGCCACTGCCGCGCTCTCCTTCACCCTCGACTTTGGCGCTTCCCGGTGCTTCTTCCGCGACTCCACCACGTTGACACCGCTTCCTGTCCCTGCCGCCGTCTCCCTGGCTCCTCTGGCCCTGTAGTCGCCCGCAGTTCCACCACCCTCCCCTGCCCGGCGGTTCCTTCGGGCTCTCTCACGGGCCTACACATCCCCTCGTTCTCCAAGAACCTAGTTGGTGTCGGCTGCCTCCAGGACCTTGGCGTCACCACTACGTTCCCTGGTCACGAGCGGTACGCTGTCTGTACCGAGGCCGCCGCTGGTGCCCCCCTTACCACGTTCCCCCGGGACCTGGTGTCCGGACTGTTCACACTGGACACTGTGACCCCCCCAGCTGGGACCCCCCCTCAGGTGGCTGCGTCTACCCAAATTGCTACTGCCTGCTCCTGTCGGTCACTCACCCACCTGACTCTCCTATGGCACCACCGTCTAGGTCACCCTGCGCTCCCGCGTCTGCATCACATGTCACAGCACGGTCTCGTCCTAGGCCTCCCTGGGTCGTTCTCTGAGTTTCCCTCCTCCCCTGCCCCACCTTGCACGCCTTGTGTCGAGGGCCGGCTTCGCCGTGCTCCTCACTCCTCCTCGTTTCCCCGTACCGCCGCACCGCTACAGACTCTGCACATGGACGTCTGGGGCCCCACCCCCGTC